AGACATAGCATGAAAATGTCACAGAGACTTGAACTCAAAGAAAACAGTGAGGTGGAATAGAGAGAAAGTATTAGAAAGGATTTTAAAAAATGAGTAAGTTAGGGGATAGGGTGCAATTTAGACACGAGAAAAGCAGAAAAGAAGTTAAAGGTTTATGTGTTGAATAAATCTAATTATCTATTCCAGTTAGCTTCTTGATGGCAAAGTCAGGCATGGCCCATTTATGATACCATCTCAGGTGCCATATATAAGCCACAGATAAGATCTGTACCAGTTGAAGAGATTCTGAAGTTATAACTTCAGTCCTTGTGGAAGAAGCAAAGCTCCCTTTAAAGAAGAAGGAAAGAAACCCTACACACTCTCTCTGCAGATGAGATGATTCTCCATTTGATGATAATACAACTCGGAAACCTAAACTTTAAAACCTGTCACTCCGTTCTTACATGGCTAACAGCAAAGGGGTACTTGTTAAGAAAAAAAAAAAAAAAGAAAAAAGAAAAAAAACTGAATATTGCTCTTTTCAAGCTGAGGACTGGTATTTGAGATCCTAATGAGGATATAGGCAGTTTATTCCTTAGGTCTGCCACATTCTCTTCCTGTATCAAGTAAGTGTATTTATTTGAACAACGCTTCTAAGAAAACCTAAATAGAGAGACACCATGTTTATGGATAGGGTGGCTTCATATCTTAAAATCTCCAATTTTCCTCAAACTCATTAATAAATTCATTGATTCTCCAAAATCAAAAAACCCCAGAAAAAATGCCAGATGATCCTTCTTTAAATAAACAATGAAATGACTACAAAAAGCTAGGTTTAAAACACTAATTTTCCAGAACAAAAGGTAACTTCAAAAACAAAAGAGCTCAGAAAGCAAGAAAAACTAAATTTAAATTTAAAAGGTCATGGCTGGGTGTGGTGGCTCACGCCTGTAATCCCAGCACTTTGGGAGGTCTAGAAGGGCGGATCATGAGGTCATGAAATAGAGACCAGCCTGGCCAATATGGTGTAACCTTGTCTTTACTAAAAATACAAAAATTAGCTGGGTATGGTGGTACGTGCCTATAGTCCTAGCTGCTCAGGAGGCTGAGGCAGGAGAATCACTTGAACCCAGGAGGCAGGAGGTTGCAGTGAGCCAAGATCACATCACTGCACTACAGCCTGGGCAACAGAGTCAGACTCCATCTCAAAAAAAAAAAAGTGATTACTTCAAACAAAGTAAGATCAAAAAATGACATTTTTCAGAACATAGAGCAAAAAGACAACATGTAAAAGATGACAGAAAAGTTCAGACATTTAAAGAACCAGTATCGTTTGAAAGTCTGATGACCTGGCATGCAAGAGGAGGGACCAGAGAAACAGGAAGAAAAAATGCCATTGTTAAAGAAATAATAAAAAAGCAATTTCCAGAGTTGAAAAAGAACATAAGCCTTCAGCATACAAGCCTACTGTGCCCAGCACAAAAAAAATGAACAAAGATTCACACTAAGACTCAAATTTTGGAACACTGTAGATGAAGAAAAACTCTTACGAGTTCCCAAAAGGAATGAAAATCAGGTTGGCCCTAGACATCTATTTACCCACACTATCGATCAGAAAACAATGCTGCAAGCCCTTCAAAGATAGAAGGGGAAATAATTTTCAATTTAGATTGTACAGTCGGACAAAGTATCAATTAAGTGAGAGGGCAATAAAAGACACTTTCTATAATGACAGATGCAGAAATGTTACTTCCCATATATGCTGGCTTAAAAATTTACACGAGGATATCTCCCAGGAAAAGAAGGGGGCAAGTCAAGAATAAAAACAGCATGGAACCCAGGAAAAAGATCCAATGCAGAAGAGCAGTGGCAAGAAGACTTTAAGATGACAGTTCTTTATCAGGCCTAGAAAACAACTAGGCCAGCCTGAAACCAAGGAACAAAGGTTTCAGGAGTAAGGTTCAAGATACAGAGGACTCAACAGAAGAGAACTTGCAAATGACAATTGGTAACACTGAGGATTATTACAAAGGACAAAAACAGACTGAGAGGGAAAAGACCGAAAAGGTCACGATCGAGTTTGAAGTGAACTGAACAGTGCAAACATAAAACATGAATGAAGTCTTAGGAAAGAGAAGTCACATGAGGCTGATGTTAAGACTCATCTTGTATTGACCAAAAGGTCGGGAACATTCAGAGAAATTATCTTAGCACTACTTGCCCCTGCATTAAAGATGTTTAGTTCATAAAAACATAGTAAATCTGGTTTTTTGCCTCCAAATTTTAGAGCCAACCTATGGACAGTAACTGGTTATTCGTGCAGGACTTATTGAAAACATTAATACCTTTGACAACATAAAAGTTAAATAGGTAACAGACAATATGGACAGGTGACAAAAGCAGAAGAAAGGGTGGGTGTGTGGGGTAATGCTAATACCACATATTACAAAGACTTAGAAGGCATGTAGAAAGTTAATGGACAGAACATCAAAACTTGAATCAATTTTCCAGTAAAACATGAGGGTAAACCAAGAAAGAAGGCATGGATTCCAGGAAAAAGATCTAAGAAGAAATCCAATGGATCCAGTGCAGAAGTGCAAAGATTTAAAGTTACAAAAGTAGTTTATAGACAATAATTTTAAAAGAGCAAACATCGCAAGAAAAAGGGGGAGAGAGTAGTGACAGTAGCCTAAGTCCTCCTTCTTTACAGATGTTCCAAGTTACATAAAGTTGATATACTAAAAGATAATGAAGAGTTCATATTCTGGCAAGATAATGGCTAAGCCAATGTCAAAACACTTCTGTTACAACAGAGAGTAAATATAAACTTTTGCAAGCCAGGCACGGTGGCTCATGCCTGTGATCTCAGCACTTTGGGAGGCTGAGGTGGGCGGATCACAAGAACAGGAAATCGAGACCAGCCTGACCAACGAGGAGAAACCCCATCTCTACTAAAAATACAAAAAATTAGCTAGCTTTGGTGGCATATGCTTGTAATCCCAGCTCCTCAGGAGGCGGAGGCAGGAGAATCACTTGAACCCGGGAGGCGGGGGTTGCAGCGAGATGAGATTGCGCCACTGTACTCCAGCCTGGGCAACAAGAGTGAAACTCTGTCTCAAAAATAAAAAAATAAAAAATAAAAATAAACCTTTGCAAAATGATAGAAATAAAATAAAAACTGAACTTATGTGTCTTTTGTAAAGCACAGCTGAAGAATGTATTTATTATATTACGTAAGGTTCCTTATGTAATGACTTATGCAATATATTACTCAAATTGCCACAGAAAAATAGGAATCTAAAACTTTTTCCCTTGTCTTGTCAGGATGCCCAGCAGAAGCCAAAGCAAAACCAGACAAGTGGAAAACTCCTACAATTGGTCTCCAAAGGATTTCCGGAGGAAAAAATCCCCTTGAAGATAAGCTCAGAAGAGAAAAATGGCCAAACATGAAGAAACCATCATCGATAAGCAAGAGCCAGAGGAAACAACAAATCGAAGGATCAGCACCCCGAAGTACAGGAGTTAACAGAGCAAGAATGCCATCTGAAAAAAACATTTTTAAAAGTATGATTAAAATTAAAAATTCAATGGACAGGTTAAATAGCAACTTCTGATAAACAGAAGTGAAGGGATAACAAGGAGTTTTAAGGAGGATCTCATCAAATGAAGTGGAAATGAGCAGAACACAAGTGGGAGACTACTGCTTGCCATTGCAGAGTCTATTACTGGAACCGCTGTTTAGTGCATCTATCACTGGGAACCATTTTAAAGTTAGAATACTAATGTGTTTTACAAAATTTAACTGAACACAGTATTCTATGTCATTTAATGGTCTGTACGTAAGGACTAATGTGAAAAATTACTTCTTGCATTCATTTATGGGAAAATGGGAATCCAAAACTTTTCCCCATTTATCTTACTGGTAGGAATTCAAGAATAATTTAAGTGCTCAACAGTGTTAGTTCATTCATAAACATATTTTATTACTCTTTTTCTCTCTCTTTTTTTTTTTTAAGACGGAGTCTCGCTCTGTCGCCAGGCTGGAGTGCAGTGGCATGATCCCGGCTCACTGAAACCTCTGCCTCTAGGGTTTAAGTGATTCTCCTGCCTCAGCCTCCTGAGTAGTTGGGACTACAGGCGCGAACCACCACACCCAGCTAATTTTTGTGTTTTTAGTAGAGATGGGGTTTTACCATATTGGCCAAAATGGTCTTGATTTCCTGACCTCATGATCCGCCTGCCTCCGCCTCCCAAAGTGCTGGGATTACAGGTGTGAGCCACCATGCCCGGCCTTTATTCCTCATTTTAAGTTAATTTCTATTCTGATTTAATTTTTACTTTGTGCATTTTACATCTACGTATTTTTAAAGTCCCTTGAAATTCTGAAAGACAGTGGGAATGAATCTATAAAATTCTTATTACACAGGGTGTCAAAAGCTATCTTCCTAAAATGGGATTAATCTTACTTAGGGGTTTACATTGATTTAAATCTTTTCAGGAGTGTGTATATTCTCTAAAAGGTCTCATAGGGATACTCGTACGTAAGGGTTAGAACCAATTTATCTTTCATAAAATCTCTAACTGCAGAGCTGCTCCAGTTGAGACAAGGTAGAGGCCCCCTATCCTTAGCAGGCTGTCAAGGGCTCCCTGGCACGTGGGAAAACTGCTGCTATGGTGATTCTCAGTTATCCGATTAATAAGAAGTCCGATTATTCCGACCAGAAGACATGGATCAAAATATACTGTAGAAAATTTGTAGGAAGAAATATTCATTTTTTTATTGTTACCTTTATAAACCTAGACTTCTAAGGGAATTCAGTAACGATAAAGGAAATGAGAGAAAAGCCTAGCTAAAATTTAAAATATTGAAATTTCAGTCCAATTTTTGCTGCTTCTCCTTAAAGCCAAATAAAACAATATAAGCATAGCCATTAAAAATTAATCCAGTAATAGTTTTAAAAATTACCCTAAATCTCAAAAACAATAGATAAAAATGAAGTTATTAAATTTACTTTTCTTACATTGTAGAGACAAGGCAAATGTTAACGTCTTGTGTACTGTTGAACTCTTTCACAATCTTGAGTCTTTCCTCTGATTTTGTACTTCCATCAAGTCGCCGGAAATCCAGCCCAGATGCCATACAGTACTGCTGTAGCACGTCAAGCACCTAGCGGGGAGGTATGAAGCGGGCAAACGTGAATCTTGGTTACGTTAGTTTCAGACCATTACAAAGTTGAGGCTTGCTAAGTATGAATTATTGGGGTTCATAATTTCTTTCTTATAATTCCAAGAGCAATAAATATTTTTCTCACTTCTGACCCACATATTTTATTCCTGTTACCCCGCAGCATTATGGCTTTAACAATCAGAACTTGTTACAAAAATCAATCTTTTTGTTTCTAAAAAACAGTATTACTGGTCAAATCATTTATGTAAATATATGTGTGCTATTTTCTAAGTTCTAAAATATCTTAAATGTCTTAAAGAACATTGTAATTATTAAAAATATCAACAGAAAACAAAAATCTTTGAGTTTGATAACTGACAGTAATCCTAAAACAAATGAAATTTTATCATCTTTTTAAAAACTAAGTTGCTTACCTCACTATTTCCTACTATGTAGACAAGCGAAAATGTGGCTGTAAGGTGTCATGTAGGAACATGCTTTACTCTTTATGCCTCAAGAGTTAGTGCTGGTCAATCAAGGAAATACTTTAGCTGAAACTCACCTTGGTGGAAAAAGAAAAGAGAAGAACTTTATCTCTGTTTTTCCTGCAATGATTTAAAAGTTGCTGAAGGACCTGAAAATGAACCACAGAAAATCAGTGAACCAGTTCCAACTATAAGTACACTTTATACATATAAACATCACTTGAGAATTTCTTTAAAATTATTTTCATACAGTATTAACCTCAATCATCTTTTCTAATTCCTCTCATTTTTTCCAAGTTAGAGAAATAAAGTATTAGCTATTACATCAAATGTTATTCATCATCATATTGTCAATAAGGAGGTAAAGTTCCCAAAGACTTTTATTTCATCTCATCTGGTTTTAATAAAAAGGAAACATTTTCGATTATGGGATGCATTTAAATGGATTAATTTAATTTCCAAAATACACTTTCTTTATACCTACAATATGTTAAGAAACTAAATTATAGAGCAGCATTCCTTTTAGGAAGTATTTAAATTGTCCCTAGATGGATGTAATGAAATGTGTTCAATTACATATAGGTTCTAAAAGTCTTGATATTTATTTTCTTAGAATAATCAGTCAGATATACACCTCTTCTCATTTTCTCCCCTTTGTTTCTCTATTTACAGTAAGCTCCGACTTCCAGATTTGATTTTGACCTCAAAATGCCAGTAATCTGCCCCCACACACAGTGCTTTTAGGGAAGAAGCAAACAGGCCGAAGCCCTGTGCATAACAGTCACACTGTTATTTTTATTTCCACATCTGGCAATGACAGCTCCAGAACACTGGAAAAGCAATCCACACAGGGAAAAAAAGATACTTTCTACACAAAGTTTAAAATCTTTCCGAAAAATGAAACAAACACTAAAACAATGTATTTAATGATAAATACTTAAGCTTTTAAATAATAAAAAAAAAAAAAAATCCTAATAGAACACTTACTTAATAGTTGATCAAGAGAAGCTATTGGGCTAACTTTGACCCCTACCGTCCCCAGTCCCTCAAAAAAAACTATGGAGTTAAAAAAAAATTCTACTCAGATAATCAATCAAATGGTAAATAAAAATGTTATAGATCAAGTAAACATTACTTTAATATTTGAAGAACCTATGAAGTTTTATTTGCATGTAAAAGCTTTATTTTTAAATAACTGATTCTATATGAAGTATATAAATTTGAATTTCACATAAGACTAACTTTTTAAATTGATAGACATTATTTTTTTCTGTTTTACAGAACTGAGTAGAAAATGCAGAAAACTCCTCTTTCCCTACTTCCAACCTCCCCCACACTTTCTCTTATTAACATCTGTATTAATAATATTAGAAAATATAACATCAAGTATTAATTATTAGTATTGGTGTGGTATATTTGTAACAACTGATGAATGAATAGTGATACATTATTATTAGCTAAAGTCCACAATTTACATTAGGGTTTATTCACTGAGTTATACAGTTCTACGGGTTTTCACAAACATATAATGACATATATTTACCATTACAGTATAATACAGGATCGTTTCATTGCCCTAAAAATTCCCTGTGCTTCACCAACTCATCCTTCCCTTCCCCAGAACCCTAGCAACCACTGAACTTTTTACTGTCTCCATAGTTTTGCCTTTTGAGAGTATTGCATAGTTGGAATTATACAGTATGTTGCCTTTTCAGACTGGTTTCTTTCACTCAGCAATATGCATTTAAGGTTCTTCCATGTCTTTTGGTAGTTTGATAGCTCATTTCTTTTTACTGCTAAATAGCGCTCCACAGTATGGCTGTACCACTGCTCGTTTACCCATTTACCTACTGAAGGGCATCTTAGTTGCTTCTAAGCTTTGGCAATTATGAATAAACTCACGTGAGGTTCTTGTGTGGATTTAAGTTTCTAACTCATTAAAACTCATTAAAATTTAATTCATTTTAACTCATTTGAGTAAATATCAAGGAGCACAATTGCTGGATCGTATGGTAAGAACTTAAGGTTATATTTTTTAGTTAAGAGCTTCGTGAGAAACCACTAAACTGTCTTCCAAAGTGACTGTACCATTTTGCATTCCCATCAGCAGCAGATGGGCGTTCTTATTCTTCCACATCCTCACCAGCATTTGGGCTTGTCAGTGTTCTGGATTTTGGCCATTTTAATAGGTATCTAGTGGTATCTCACTGTTGTTTTAATTTGTAATTCTTTTATGACATGTAATGTTAAACATTTTTTCATATGTTTTGCCATCTCTATTATCTTCTTTGGGGAAGTATCTGTTCAGATCCTTTGCCCATTTTTAAATTTGATTGCTTGCTTTCCTATTGTTAAGCTTTAAGAGTTCTTTGCATATTTTGTAAACCAATCCTTTATTGTTTTGCTAATATTTTCTCCCAGTCTGTGGTTTGTTTTTCATTCTTCTTAAGATATGAACATTTTAAACCAAAGATATATTGTATAGACATCCATTCTTATTGTTTGGGGTAGTATTATAACTATTGCAATTTTAAGTATTTTCAAATATTTTACAGTAAAAACAAAAACAAGTCAGAGGAAAAGTAAATTTTTTTTTTTTTTTTTTTTTTTTTGAGACGGAGTTGTGCTCTTGTTACCCAGGCTGGAGTGCAATGGCGCGATCTCGGCTCACCGCAACCTCCGCCTCCTGGGTTCAGGCAATTCTCCTGCCTCAGCCTCCTGAGTAGCTGGGATTACAGGCACGCGCCACCATGCCCAGCTCATTTTTTGTAGTTTTAGTAGAGATGGGGTTTCACCGTGTTGACCAGGATGGTCTCGATCTCTTGACCTCATGATCCACCCGCCTCGGCCTCCCAAAGTGCTGGGATTACAGGTGTGAGCCACCGCGCCCGGCCCCAAAAGTAAATTTTTTAAACTGGGGTCGTAATTAGGCTAAAGAAACTAGCTAAGTAAATGACTATAAATCAAGATCCCAGAAATTTCCAAAATGACGATGCAATCAATATAAGTTGGAGTCTTAACAATATAGACCCAATGTTTTATCACTCAGTTGTCCTCCACAGAACAAGACAATCCATCTACAAAGGAATCACATATTTGGGGTTAACGGCAAGGAATCTTGGATCTTAACTGTTCTCAACTGGTCAGTCAGGCCTAGAAAGATGAATATGACCCTTGTGTGACTTCAGCAGCACCAAGCTGCTCCTAGTCTTTTTTCCCACCCTCCACAGTAAGTGGCTCTGCGGCACTTCTCGAGAGAAAGAAAAGTGAAGATTTTTATCAGGTGAATGACTGCAACTTGTGACTATCCCCTTGAATGACAGTTGAGGTCACAACCCTGACACTCAAGATAAAGAGCTGGGGTCATGAGTGTAGCTCTGAGGCTATAAAGATTATAGCAGGCATTCTGTTCACAGAGTCCTTGCACCTGCAGGCTGACCTACGACAAGCCAAGCCAAACAAAGATCTTTTATCACCTGAATTCAAAAAGTACATGCAACTCAATTCTCGGAGTTCTTAAACCCACAGGCAATGATTCTATGATAAGCCTGTAAATTCTGCATCACCAAATCAATATATGACCAGATGATGCTATTAATCAAATGATTTAACATAGTCTAAAAACACATCCCTAGCTTATTACTAGCCATCTCTGTGTGGTTGATGTTCTCTCATGAAGCAAATAAATTACCTGCGTCATTCACATGTAAAGATACTACTCAGCCTCTAGCAACCATTTATGCTTCCTTTTCCCTTCTAAACATTAAAATTAAATTAAATCCAATCATTCTCTTAATCAGACACTATTAATCCTAGGAAGATTAACTTTAAAAGTCTATTTTACAATTATATCTTTAATGAATATGTAAAAAATATAAAAATATAAAATGCACTTATAAAACTTTAATTTCCACACTGGTAATTTCTTAGTGAAGAGTCACAGGGAATAAAATTTAAATAAGTAGCAATGGATAATGCAGTTTTCAGAGGAGGCTATAATTTCTGGAAATATTCTATTGGCTTAAACTGTGAGACAATAACTGCTCAGTTCTATCCTTGGTTAGATGATAATTATTTTTAAATTAAAATAAGCATTATTTTGATTTAAAAATAATTAAAGTCAATGAAATGGATGACAAAAATAAATTTGCTACCTTAGAAACTATCATTAAATTTGAATTATTTGTTGTGATAATAAATCACATGATATCCTCATTAATATAAACATCTATTTTAAAGAAACGTAAGTTTTTAATGCAATAGTCTTTACTATATGTATATTCCTACCTTCTATTTTATTTCATTGATTTTAGAGGTCCTAAGTAAACTAAACCATGATGAGCTTATCTAGTTTGACTGCTACAAGTACCATTCTGACCAACATAGTGAAACCCCATCTCCACTAAAAACACAAAAATTAGCTGGGCATGATGGTGTGCACCTGTAGTCCTGGCTACTCGGGAGGCTGAGACAGAAGAATCACTTGAACTGGAGGTGGAGGTTGCAGTGAGCCAAGATCAAGCTACTGCACTCCCGCCTGGTGACAGAGTAAGACTCTATCTTCAAAAAAACAACAACCCCCCCCCCCAAAAAAAACAAAAACTACTTTGAATTACTTCCTTTTAATTCCTTTTGTCAGAAGAAATAATTTACCTTTTAAAAATTATAACGAAGTTGAGAATTGTTCTGTAAAAATCTGTGAATCCACATATAAAAGATTCTTTATAGTTATTAAGGGGTTAAACAAACTAACTCTGTTGCAAGGAGGCAGGAAGCTGTCAGCATTTTATGTTGCTGCCACAGGCAATGCCCAAGGCCTGTGTCGCGGTTGGAGAACTTAGCCTTACTTTTCACATCCCTCCCTTGGTAACACGTTACCAACAGCAATGCAGCTACAGGTCAGTTTTCCCGTGTATGACAAATGTCTCTTTGAAACTTTACAATCTAGGTCTGCAGGTAAAAACAACATGCAGAAAATTCTAGGCATACAGACCTTGCCTATCTTGAACTCTTCA